TCCATACCACATGCTTGTATGACTTTATGATGTTGATCTTATGTGTTCTGAATACAGGCAATATGGTAAAGAGTAGATGACCTAAACTTGGAATTCAAAGTTCTGCATTTTAATTTAGATCAGCTGTATGATTCTCAGTTTCTCCAAAAAATAAAAATTAGGGCACTAAAATCCTAAATGTAATTTTTTAATTATGTAAAACATTTTTCAAAGTAAAAATTTGTTTTTAAAAAGTTTTATAGTTTCTAAAAATCACTGTATTTAGTTGATGGCAGAAAGTTCTCAATGTGAGGAGGTAGGGGTTATAGTAAAGCTAACATTTGCCTAGTTGCTTGTAAGTAGTGTTCAGAGTTAGAAGTTATATGTTATTATGACAGGAACCCTTAATATTATCCCTTAGTTATCACAAATTTGGACATAACTGGCTGGAAATTGGCTCTCACCTTCTTCCCTAAACCAGTTCTCAATTGCTGCCTAATGATCAGAAACTGGCTTTTCCAGTTCAATGTGTAGTTAGTGTGAGCTGCATAAAGGTCACTATCAGTGTTTTCGAGAGTTGTGTCCATAAAAGCTGTCTAAAAGTTTGTTTTTCATTGGTTTCCCAATAATACAGTGCTACATGTATGTAGTATTGCACGCCTAGGGAGAGGGGCATAATTTAGGAAAGGCAGTTCCCTTCCCCTGAGAGCAATTCCTGGGGACATTCTCAGCTGTGATCCCTCAGCTAGTAACAATCTCACCAGACAGGAGAATAAAGATGTGGAAGAAGGACCTGTCAACCTACTGCAGTGTCCAACCAACGTTCTTATGTAGTTGTAATGTCTCTTATCATTTCATTAGATAATTAGAGGTTCAGTATCTGCAATAGTAAAGTTCAGTAATACCGTCAAAGTATTAGGGCTGTAGATCTGACTGACATCTTAAAATACTATCTTAAATCTGACTCCGTCTTTTTTTTGCCTGTTTCTCTCACTGTTTTTTAAAAATACATTTTTATTAATTTCAGACAGGAAGGGAGAGGGAGAGGGGGAGATAGAAACATCCATGATGAGAGAGAATCATTGATTGGCTGCCTCCTGCATGCCCCCTAATGAGGATCGAGTCCGCAACCTGGGTATGTGCCCGTGACCAAATCAAACCCGGGACCCTTCAGTCTTCAGGCTGATGCTCTAGCCACTGAGCAAAACTAGAAAGGGCTTTCTCACTGTTTTTACGTTGTTTTCTGCTCTCCCCCTTTTCTCCTGTAGTCAGTTGCTCTTTTTTTTTTAATTGAGAGAGAGAGAGAGAGAGAGAGAGAATAGAATTACAGATTTGTTGTTCTACTTATTTATGCATTTGTTGGTTGCTTCATGTTTGTGCCCTGACCAGGATAGAACCCACAATCTTGGCATATCAGTATGACACTCTAACCAACTGAGTTACCCAGCCAGGGACATAACATTTTTTTAAATTAAACTTTTTATTTTGAGATCATGTAGGTTCACACGTGGTTCAAAGAAATAATGTATAGACATTCAGTACACTCATTCCTAAATGATTTCATGAACTGTACAAATTGCACAATAAAAATCACAGGGCTATGGGGTAAAAGTGATTTGCAGCACACATTAAAAACTTTACCAGTGACATAAAAAAGAGATATAAAACTAATAAAAATGGTAGCAGTTTTACATATGTTACATGGTCAAGAATAGCATAAATACTATGATAAATAGACCTCTTTACCTTGAAAAAGACCTGAAGTTTGCTGATGGAATGGGTGACGAAAAGGTTATAGCTGTGAGTTATTGTGTGATGGTGGAAGGAGGGGTATCCGAAATCAGACAGAAATTTATAACACAGATGCAGAGTGTTGGTCTCTAAGCACACAGTGAACTGAGGTCAGTGCTAGATGTTTGGGGAAGGTGCATGTGTGTATTTTGTGTATTTCTACATTGATTGGTTCAGGTAGATGCAGTTTTCTGTATTTATCCAGTGATTCTCAGAGATGAAACAATGTATAAGAGGACACATAATTTACGTATGTTCAAATTGTTTCTTAATATATCTATTGTGTTGGAACAAATTTATATTTTCCAAACAAGCATTATAGTGCAATTCATTGTACTTTTTTGTTGTTTCTTATTTTGTTAGTTCAACTTGGTTGGGCTCTTTTTTTCTTAGCACCATTTCTGTCTAATTGTTGCACAGTTTTTGTCACAGAACTTCTTCAATGTGGCTAGGCTGTAGGCATGCTTTTGAAGACGTGGGTCACACTAGCAGCCCCTTCAGAAAGGGAAAAGTTAATTTCCCTTTATTTAATTCTTTTCAGTCTTCTTTCCATAGGTTGTGTGCACTCATGACTTTTATTTTGATAGCAATATAGATATCAAGACTTTTCTATACTTTTGTTCTAGCTAAGTCACATTCACAGTGGGGACAACCTTCTTTAAAAGAAAATGTTGCATCAGTTCTTCATCTGAGTGTCATTGAAAATAAAACTTGCAGATGCACACAGGATCTTGAGTAAAAATATTACATGTTTTCTATCCCCTTACTTATTATTTAATATCTAGAGGCTCAGTGCATGAATTCATGCACACTGAAAGGAAATTAATTACAAGAAATATTTTAGAGGCTGGGGAGAGACCACAGTAGGGCTCCAGTCGTGTCCGGCCCATCTTGCCCAATCCCGATTGGCTGGACCCTAGCAGCAAGCTAACCTACTGGTTGGAGCATCTGCCCCCTGGTGGTCAGTGCACATCATAGTGACTGGTCTAGTGGTCGACTGAGTGGTCGACTGATCGGTCGGACACTTAGCATATTAGGCTTTTATATAAATAGATAATATACTTTTGCATAAATGTAATATTACTTCTAATATACTAGAGGCCCAGTGAATGAAATTTGTGCACTTGGGGGGGGTCCCTCAGCCCAGCCTGTGCCCTCTCACAGTCTGGGAGCCTTTGGGGGATGTCCAACTGATAGTTTAGGCCTGTCCGGGGAGAAGGTCTAAGCCAGCAGTCAGACACCCTTAGTGCTGCTGCTGTGCTCACCAGCCATGAGCCTGGCTCAGGTCTTCTGGCTCAGGTCTTCCGGTTGTTCCACCGTTAGGTTGATTTGCATATTAGCCTTTTATTATATAGGATCTTATATATAACTAGAGGCCTGGTGTATGAAATTCATGCACTGGGGAGGGGAACCCCTTAGGGGATGTCTGCCTGCCAGCTTAGGCCTGCTCCATGGAGATCAGGCAGGCAGACATCCCCCTCAGAGTCCGGGACCCCTTGTTCCTTACTGCCTGCCTGCTCGCTGCTCCTTACCACTCGGCTTACTGCACCTTAGCGCTTCCACTTCCATGGAGGCAGGAGAGACTCCCACCACTGCCGCTGTGCTCGCCAGCCATGAGCCCGGCTTCTGGCTGAGCAGCGCTCCTCCTGTGGAAGTGCACTGACCACCAGGGGGCAGTTCCTGCATTGAGTGTCTGCCCACTGGTGGCCAGTGTGCATCATAGTGACCAGTTGTTCTGGTTGTTTGCTCTAATGGTCTCTTAGGCTTTTATTATATAGATTTATACCATAATAGCTGCCACTTATTAAATGTTTAGCATATGCCAGTGTTCTGTGTGAAGCCATGTATAGTCTATATATATAAAACCCTAAGTGACCGGTCAACCAATTGACCGGTTGACCGATCGACCAGTTGCTATGACACACACTGACCACCAGGGGGAAGATGCTCAATGCAGGAGCTGCCCTCTGGTGGTCAGTGCACTCCCACAGCGGGAGCGCCACTCAGCTGACCAATAGGTGCCAGATGCTGGGCTCACAGCTGGCGAGTGCAGCTGCAGCGATGCAAGCCTCTCCCACCTCTGCAGCAGCACTATCGAGCTGCTACATCCCTCTGGGGCAGTGGTCGGCAAACTCATTAGTCAAAAGAGCCAAATATCAACAGTACAACAATTGAAATTTCTTTTGAGAGCCAAATTTTTTAAACTTAAACTAAATAAGTAGGTACAATGTTATTAACTTAATTAGGGTACTCCTAAGGCTTAGGAAGAGCCACACTCAAGGGGCCAAAGAGCTGCATGTGGCTCGTGAGCCGCAGTTTGCTGACCACGGCTCTGGGGGATGTAGGACTGCCAGTTTCGGCCGATCCCCACAGGCCAGGGCCTCTAGTAAATATATAATACCTTTCAGTTCCAATGCCTCTGTTAACCTGTTTGAAAATCACTGATTTACCTTTATATTCTAACTAGGGGCCCGGTGCACGGATTCGTGCACCAGTGGGGTCCCTCGGCCTGGCCTACACCCTTTTGCAATCTGGGACCGCTTGGGAGATGTAGTAGTGCGTGAAGTGGCAGGCAGCCAGGGAGGAGCCTGAGCCCAGGCTGGGCACCACGCCACTCCTGCTTATCCTGACCCCACTACACCTGCCACCACCTGCTCAGGCACGCAGGGGGAGTTTCCACAGGAGAGGCTATTGCCTGTCGCAGCTGCGCTTGCCACCCATGAGCCTGGCATCTGGCGCCCATGTGTCAGCTGAGCAGCACTCCTGCTGTGGGAGTGCACTGACCACCAGGGGGCAGCTCCTGCATTGAGCGTTTGCCCCCTGGTGGTCAGTGTGCATCATAGCTACCAGCTGGTAGTCTAGTCATCCAGTCACTTAAGCTTTTACATCTATATGTGTCAATTAAGAGTTCTTGTCAGAAACTTAGTTTTCCTCTTAAATTAACTCTTTTAGAGTTCGTATTTCTCCGTGTGAAAGCCGTATCCATTTCATTTCTTTAAGTTTGTGAATTGTAAATTGAAGTTGAGAAAATCCTAAGCACTGTGTCTTTTCTTTTCCTGCAGCGTTTGTCCAATGGTTCTATAGATTCAACTGATGAAACTAGTCAAATAGTCGAACTACAGGAATTGCTTGAAAAGCAAAACTATGAAATGGTCCAAATGAAAGAACGTTTAGCAGCACTTTCTTCCCGAGTGGGAGAGGTGGAACAAGAAGCAGAGACAGCAAGAAAGGATCTCATTAAAACGGAAGAAATGAATACTAAATATCAAAGGGACATCAGGGAGGTGAGTGATTAATAACGCTTTCAGTCTTTACTTCCTGAATGCAATCTCTGAGATGCTTTTTTTCCATAATATCCCCTGTGGTAATACTCTTTTCATCTCAAAAGACCATAATCTGGGATGTATTGTGTTAGTTATGAAACTTGTTCAATAAGGCAAATATTGTTTACTTCATCGAAATATGTGTGGAAAGGAATTTTGATATCAAGTCTCAAATATAATAAAAAATTTACAGTTTTTAAAGATTTTTTTTAAATTGTGGAGCTGTTCATTTTAAACAACCCTTGATATGAATATGTATAGTGAATTGTTATGCTCTTAGCTATGGGACTACTCAAAGACATTTTAAAATGTCCCCTCTCATTTTTGGATTTGTGTCTATGAATGTGAATGTGTATGCTTGTATGTACTAACTTTCCTTTTTCTATACATTCAGTTCTTGCTAGACTTAACATCATGTTATCTACTCTTTAAAGAGAGTACTGGAAAGTTACTACAAAAGACACAATGATATGGTTTATTTGTAACATTGCCAAATTATCTTACTAGCTAAGGTGAAAAGTTTAGAAGTTTTTCACTTTCTCACTTTATTCAATTAAAAAGATGATATTTATGAAAATTTTATTTTGTGACTTACTGTTTTCATTTTTACATATTCATTTATAATCTATTTTAGACATTTTATATATTTTGTATATACTTAACTATTTTTATTGAAGTTTAACCTACTCTGTGTAGCCAGTTCTTTTCTTTCCATTTTATCTTCAGTTTATTTTACTCATACTTTTGCCTTCACTGTCCTATCCAAACTGTTCTTACCCACATTGTTCTTGACCTCCCTGTTACTGAATCTAGGGACCACTTCTCAGTTCTCCGAAGCACTTGATCCAGTTCTCACTCCCTGGGGCACTTTTTCACTTGGCTAATAGCACACTGCACTCGCCTGATTTTCCTCCAGCCTGTTTACTACTCCCATTTCAGCCGCCTTTACTGGCTCAGCTTCCTGCCCAGTCATGGAGTGTCATCCTTTCTCAATCTACCTTTAGCACCCGAGTAAGTTCATGCATTCTCATGGCTCCGAAAACCACCTAGTGACTTATGACTCCCAATTTATATCTCCAGCTTACCCTTCTCTCCTGATTTCCTGATGCCTGTGTCTAAATGTCCCATGGGTCTCTCAAAATTAGATTTCTCAATATTGTTTTCCTGGTATTCCCCTAGGAAGCCAGGCTTACTCGAAGTCCTACACATCTGAACCGATGGCAACCCTATTATTGTTGCTCAGGCTAAAATCCTTGGAGCTGTCCTTGGTACCTCTCCTATTTATATTGCAAAGTCCTTGCAATACCTACAAGCTATAGGTACTGTCTGACCTCTTAGAACTCATCTTTTAATCTTTCATTTTATCCCTATCTGTTCAGTTAAGGGGGCCTCTTAAACAAGCCAGGCCTATTCTTTTACGTCTTATTTTTCCTCTGCTTTTTGCTCGAATGTTTTCTCAGTGAAGTGTTCCCTATCCATGCTATTTACACATACACACCCTCCCTCTTCTCTCATTTTTAGTCACACAGCATTACTGCACCTGAAACAATTCATATTTTACTGATTTACTTGTTTATCATATGCCTTTCAACTAGACATAAAAATTTATAAGGGATGTAATGTTTGTTTTGTCTTGTTTTGTTTATTGCTCCATTTGAGTCACTTGCATAACTACTGAGCATAGAATAGACACTCAAACATCTTTACTGGGACAATGAATATTTATAGATTTTTGATGTCAACATCAAAAGGCAGGGATGAGATTAGAATAAGTCCTAAAACAATGTCTATTCTCTCAGAAGATGCATGATCCAGGAAGTGGTAGATTGCTCTACCACTGCACCAATAAAGATACTGTGCTCTCTATACCCTTATATGAATTAACAGTCTATAGATATGTCTCTTATCTTAACTCCTTCTCACAATCCAAACTCGGAGAATTTATAAAGTAAATAAATTTAACCTCTCCTTTATATCACTGATAAGGAATACTGAGATTTCTGGCCAATAAACGACCAAGGCAATTTCTTGAGCTTTTGCTCATTCTGTATTTCTTGATTTTCTTAGTCCTGGATATTTAGCTGTTTTCCTTTCATTTAATGCTCATCTATTTTATTCACACTTATTTAACGCAGTGTCACAGGTGGAGCCCAGCATCACCAGCTCCCCCTTTCTTACTGCTGATGTAAAAATAGTTCCTTGATTCTAATAGTCTTTGAATGTAGGTGACAAAAAGATTTCAATCACCTGGTGCCAGGTGTTCTTTTATTGGGAAACCCTTCTCTTGTGTAAGCTGTTCTGCCTTTAGATGAATTATTTTAAAATATAACTATTCTTATCAGCTCTACCATTTCTATGTAGTTGTACTTTAGAAGAGTTTCATAAGAAAGGAATGTCTGTCATTATTCACCTTGGAAGGGAAGTTGCAAACACTAATGCTTTCAGAGCCAGACAGGCAGTATAAATGTGTGAAGTGCCAGGTGCAGGATAGTAGAAAGTGATAGAGTTAATGAAACCTGGACAAGGAGCCTACACTCTGCCCGACTTCCTGCATGCATCACGTGTGTGTGTGTGTGTGTGTGTGTGTGTGTGTGTGTGTGAAAGACACTGTGAAGGTCAAGTACAATATTATCAGAAAGATTAATGTCACAGGCCACAGGCTCCTGGTTTGCTGCTCTGAATTTCTTGAGGACCAACCAGGAAAACTATTTTAGGTGCATTATATCTATACAATAGAGAAGGTACTTGTCATTAGCCCACTTTTCTCAGGTGAATAATCTAAGGTTTTAGTGAGATGAAGTGACTTGTCCAAGGTCTATGCACTGACCTCCCTACTCCCTCAGGCCCCAGTACCAGGAAGACATAGGACAAGCCTGACTTCAAAACCTGTGGTTCTGACACTTTGATGAGCTTTCAAAATCAGTGAGATGCAGGCATTACTTCAGTGGTAGAAACTGTCCTAAAAATGCAGCTACAATATAACGGCCCCCTAAATGATCAATCCCAATAAGCATGAAGATACACAAAGCACATACTTAAAAAGGTATCATTTACTCACTCATAGCCCCAGACTTAGCTTTTATTTTCCTAAATAATAATGCATTCTTGGACTGTGGTCACACAAAATCTACTAGATTGCAAATATTTTAGTAGAAAAAAATTAAGGTGATTTATCTTGCTACCTCTGCTAGCACAGTATGATTTACATATTGAATAAACAGTAAATGGTTATCAAATTAAGAAAAAATTCTATAATAAGAAAACTAACCATATAATTAAAACTGAAGTGTATTTTGCTTTGCATGTGAGAACAATCAAACATATCTGAAATGAATTATTTTAGTATGCTTCATTAATGCTTTTAAATATAGTTTTGTAATTCTTCTTTGTCAAGAAATAAGTCTATCTAAATTTATTTTGATTTGAAGTTTAGTTTTAGTTGCTTAACAAATTGATTGTGACCTACTAGGGGGGACTGGATCAAGGCATAGCACACATTTGGAAAGCACAGACTGCATGTCCTCAGTGTTGGGAAAGTGTTTTTAAGAGCAGCTATTATTGGATATCTTCAGGTGTTTGATCCAAAAGCACAGTCTGAAAGTTCAGCTAAAACCTATTTTTCCTGCAATGTTTGAAAATACAATGGTCAGAACAAATCAAGAAATCTACTAATATGCGAAAGAGTAGGGAAATTATCTGTTAAAGCCTTAGTTTTCGAAAGTAAAAAACAGGGGAAAAAAAGTAAACATAACAGAAGTTTAGCTCTCCACTTTTTAATCAGAGGGCTACTAATCAGGCATTGAATATAATATCACATTAAATATGTTGATATGCAAAGAGTTAGAATTTTTTGTGAAGTCTTTAAATTATATTTTATTTTACAAATAAAATCAGCTTACCTTTCCAACTTCTTATAAAAGCTCTTCACAAGGTTGCTAAGTGATTAAATAAATTTTGTATTTTCTATTATCTGAAATATGGAATTGTATTCTTCACTTTACTAGATTTGTGGAGTTATATTTATTGGATATAATAAAATTCAGTTTATAAATAAACTTCAGGTCAAGAGATAATTGAATCTTTCATCTGTTTTTCTCCTTTTTTAGATAGCGTTTTCAGGGATAAAGAAAAGCTTTCTTTTTTAGAAATTCCAAGTGACACACAGGGAAAAGATATTTCTTGAACTTGTAAATTCAAAATTTATTTTTGTCAACACAGCCTACAGCTAAAAATTGAATCTCCCACATGAATCATTGACCCAAAATGTAAAACCAAAGTCACATACAATGATTCCTGCATTTAATGTGTGGCACAGCCATATCAGTTAATTGTAGGCATAATACCAATTAATAATAAAAGTTAGGTATTATTTATTGAGTGTGTTTTCTTCATGAGACACCATGCAAAGTATTTCAACATCACAGCAAACATACTACAACAACGTTATATGGTAAGTGCCAATATCCCACCCCCACCCCCAAAAAAGGGAGGTTAAGCAATATTGCAATATTTACCTGATAACAAAGGTAAAATGCATCAAAAACTAGGATTTGCAGCAAGTATGTACTACTCTAGGATCCATGTTCTGAAGACACATATCTATGCCTTTTACTGAATTTATTGCCATTAAATTTAGTGCAAATTTTATAGGTGCACTCTAGTTTCAGAATTTTCTCTTTGAACTAAAACATTAGCAAGATATCTCAGAGTTCTGGATGAAAATGAAATTAACAGGATGCAATATTGTATGTGTTCTGAAGAGATACCCTGCCATCATTGGACTAAAATTATATAAAAATAGTCAAAATTTAAAATAAAAGTTTTGTAAATAGTAACTGTTGTTTGGGATAGCTAAAATATAGGGTTGTGTACCTAATGTCAAAAAATATAACCTGGATTTTTTTTCCAAATTGATGGATTACTTGGATTTTATACATTTGAACTTAATATTCACATAATTAAACAAGCAGTCTTTAATTGGGCCTTGAAGATCAGCGGAACTGAGCTAAGCAAAGAAGTCAACAAAAATGAATTTCAGGAGGAAATGAAATCACAGAGTTTATTAGTTTCCTGAGGCTGTGGTAACAATTAGCATAAACTGGGTGGCTTAAAGCAACAGTAATTCATTCTCTCACAGTTTTGGAGACTATAAGTTCAATATCAGTAGGGCCATATTACCTCTGAAGGCTCTATCTAGAGAAGAATCTTGATTTGCCACTTCTAGCCTGGTGGTTGCTGAGATTCCTTGGTGTTCTTAGCTGGTAATAGTGTAACTACAATCTCTGCCTCCTTCTGAAGACTGCCCTTTTCTCTGTATGTCTCTGTATCCCCAGATCTCCCTCTTCTTATTAGATCACAAGTCATTGGATTTAAGGCCCACACGAATGCTGTATGACTTCATCTTAACTTGATTACTTCTGCAAAAGCTTATTTAAAAATAACGTCAAATTCACAGGTCCTTGGTGGACATGAATTTCGGGGGGCTAATGAGGGGAACATGATTCATTCCAGTACATAGAGCTAGAGATGTGTCAGGTCATACAGCTACTTCTTTTCTAGGCTTTGTAGCTCAGATTTTACATAAAAGATGGAGTACAATATGCTCACATTGGCATTTAGAAATGTCTCTAGGTCAGTAGGGTGGAGAATCAGTAAGCAGGAAAAAAAGACCAATAGCAAGATGACAGGTTAGGCTACTAAAGTGAGAATATTATGCTCAGTAAAATAAGCCAATCAGAGAAAGATAAATATCATATGATCTCACTTATATGTGGAATCTAAGGAACAAAAAAACCCTGATGAACAGAATAGATCCAGAGACATTGGAGCATGTAACACACTGACAAATCTCAGAGGGAAAGGGTGGGGGGAGGATGGTGGGAAGAGATTAACCAAAGAATTTATATGCATATATGCATAACCCATGGACAGACAATAGTGCAGTGAAGGTTTGGGGAGTGGGCTGGGCGGGAGTGTGGTAGAGGGGGTCAATGGGGAGCAAAAAGGGAGACATCTGTAATACTTTCAACAAAGACACATTCAATTAATTAATTAACCAATTAATTAATTAAAGTGAGAGGGTGGAGAAATTTTCAAGAATGATCCTAAAATCCTAGGGAGATTGGTGTCATTCCATAGCCAAGTAACACAAGAAGAGCTGATTTGTGGGTAGGCAGGGTGACTAAGGACATGAGTTTCATGGTAGATATGTATGTACGCCATTGCATTCTCAGAGAAAGACAGCTTTCGGTTAACCCAAGATATAAGAAGAATTCAGACAGGTAATTTGGGAAAACTCACATGAAATCTTACATTCCTCTTGTGAAATGAAACAAATTAATATTTACTTTAATAAAGCAATGGTTTTCATGGATTAGTCTTTTATTTAAATAACAAGACAATAAGTTACACTGTCTGAGAATCTGATTTGAATTTTTTTATTATTTTAATTGTAGGCCATGGCACAGAAGGAAGATATGGAAGAAAGGATCACAACCCTTGAGAAGCGTTACCTCAGTGCTCAGAGAGAATCTACCTCCATACATGATATGAATGATAAACTAGAAAATGAGTTAGCAAATAAAGAGGCCATCCTCCGGCAGGTTCAGTATCTCTGTGTTGTTTTTGTTCTGGTCCATGTGCGTGTTCTCACCATTCTCACAAAATGTTGAGTAAATTAAGTACGTTATTTCTTCACAATCAATCATTCTCTAAAATTTAGAATGGTGTGAACTAAACATGTGGTTTTCAGTAGGTAATTTAGAAATTGTTCTTAATAATAATAAAAATAATGACTAAAATTTACTTTGGATCTAAACATGAACCAGAAACTGTGCTAAGTAGTTTACATGTATTACCTCACTTAAATCTAACCACCACCTGTGAAGTAAGCACAGTTATTATACCGCCGACAGTAAGGTTCAGCGACATGAACATTTTCTCAAGGTCACACATCTGGTAGTTGCCAGAGTCTGTAATGGAAACTAAAGTCTACTCCACTCCAGAGCAGGAGTGGGCAAACTATACTCTCTGAGACAAAACTATGGCTCTGCTTTGTAAATAAAGTTTTATTGAAACATAGTCATACCCATTATTTAATCATTGTCTATGACTGCTTTTGTGCTACAACAGTAGAATCAAAATGTTAGAACCAAAACTATATGGGACACAAAGTCTGAGATATTTACTACCTGGCCCTTCACAGAAAAATGTTTGCCAATCCCATCTTTTGAGCCTAACCATTATAGTACATTACCTCTCCCTCTCCAGACAATACTCTGACTTTCAATATTATGCTAATATGGTGCATCAGAAGTGTAAGTACTGACTTGTATTCCATTGGTCCAAGTATATATTCACTGTTAACTTCTTTTCTTTTTGCTGCCATTGGTAAGAGCTTTTCTAAATTTTTTTAATGTGCTCAATTTTATTAAGGAATGTGGATAAGTAGTATATAAAAAACACGAGGGCAATGATCTTTTTGCACGGTAAGTGTGGCAGCTAATTTTAAATCTATGATAATGGCTGAAGTCCAAGCCCCCTAGTGAATGGGGTCTGCTATACTAACTGTGATCCTTGAAGTGTCTCTTTCCCACCCCTGTTTCAGATGGAAGAGAAGAACAGACAGTTACAGGAACGACTTGAGCTTGCGGAGCAGAAGTTGCAGCAGACAATGAGAAAAGCTGAGACCTTACCTGAAGTAGAGGCTGAGCTGGCTCAGAGAATTGCAGCCCTGACAAAGGTACTGCAATATAACACTTGGTCAGCTTAGATGTGCTCACAGAAATGACTGGTAATCAAAATGAAGCTGTAAAGATTTTCTTTAGTCTTTATGAAAATTAAGTTCATCTAATATTTATTACATTGGTTTCATATTTAGGTGAATTTTTCAAACTATGTATATCTTATTTATGCTGACATGAATGATTAACATATGACTGTGACGATTCCCTTGCCTACTTAAACATTAACAAAAATAAAATTTTATGTCCTTATATTAATTTTCCATGGCAATATTTGCACATCAGAATAATTGCAATATAAACACATAATGATATTTAATATGTATATACATGAGACATATTTTAATATGCTAAACATAAATTGGTACAATAAATATAGGAAATATCATAGCAGTTGATTCATTTTTGACTATAGTAGAAAAGAATTTTTAGAATTTGGAAGTTACATTTATAGCAGTCTAAGGTCTCCGGCCATGAAGTAGTCAGAGAGTGGTTTTAGTGGATACAATTTCTTCCGAACCAATTAAAATCCATAGTATTATATCCCACATTTGAGTGAAATCATATGGTTCTTTACTTTTTCTGACTGACTTATCTCACTTAGCATAATATTCTCAAGTTCTATTCATGTTGTTGCAAATGGCAGTATTTTATCCTTTCTTGTGGCTGAATAGTATTCCATTGTGTATATGTAACACATCTTCTTTATCCAGTGAATAATGCTTCAATGAACATAGGGGTGCATATATCTTTGCAAATAGATATTTTCGAGTTTTTCAGGTATATCTCCAGGAAAGGGATTGCTGGGTTGTGTGGTAGCTCTATTCTTAATTTTTTAAGGAATTGCCATAATACTTTCCATAGTAATTGTACCACTCTACATTCCCACCAGCAGTGAATGAGGGTTCTCTTCTTTCCACAACCTCTCCAACACTTGTTCTTGCTTGTCTTATTGATAATGGCCACTCTAACAGGTGTGAGGTGGTATCTCATTGTAGTTGTGATTTGTCAGAGGGAGGGTGATGGGGGAAGAAGGGAGTTATGGTGACAAGAGATTTGACTTTGGGTGGTGGGCACAGGGTGCAATATCTAGATCTTGTAAAATAGAAACTCATACCTGGGACCTATATGATCATGTCAACCAATGTCACCCCAATGAATTTAATTTAAAAAATATAAATAAAAGATAAATATTAAAAAGTAAAATAAAATAAAATCTGTAGTATTCTGAAGAATGTTCAATATTATCTACCAAGTTATAGCCATTAGATTCTGTAATTATCTGCATATTTTAGAATTCTGCAACCATTATAATGTTTAAAAAAAACTATCCTTACCTTTCACTATCAAACGGAGATGACATTGCTTCAAAATACATATACATATCACTAAAATAAAAGTCCATATTTTTTACTAAAATCATGTTTGACTTTTTAAAAAATATATATTTTATTGATTTTTTACAGAGAGGAAGGGAGAGAGATAGAGACTTAGAAACATAGATGAGAGAGAAACATCGATCAGCTGCCTCCTGCACATCTCCCACTGGGGATGTGCCCACAACCCAGGTACATGCCCTTGACCGGAATCGAACCCGGGACCCTTGAGTCTGCAGGCCGACGCTCTATCCATTGAGCCAAACCGGTTTCGGCATGTTTGACTTTTAATATCAATTGAAAATATACACATATTTTAGTGGTTCACACAATCATTACTGTGTGCTAAGTTGTCTCCTCCACTGCAAGTAAGTGGGTAAACTACAAGTTACAAATTCTGTCATTAGGGATTATTCAAAGCAATTGATGTGGCAATATAAGAGTAGGCACACATATTTGATTTCCTGCAAAAGTAAATAAGTAAAGAGGAACAGTAAGCTGACACCTATTAATTAAAATAGGGAAGTCAATCGGGTAGAAAAAAGGCAAACGTTTGGCAATGAATTGCAGGGTTAGAAAATATTGGAATAGTTGGTTATCTATAGAGTATTGGAGTAACTAGCTGACCTAAACATTAGGTGATTAGGGTTATGTTACAATCTGGATCCTTCCATAGTCACGTACCATGCCATAAATTCCTGTGGCAATTCCAGGAATGTGTGGTTTCTAATATAAAGATAAGTTTAACATTTAATTTAAATATCTTTTCTAAATTATATCAAAATGTGCAAATATATTAATAGCATTCTACTTTTTCTTGTGAAGATATTTTCAATTACTATATTATGGATTGAGATATGTACAATTAGTCTTCTTATCTGAGGAACCCAAAAAACTTTTATAAAGAGTTATTTTATTAAATTGAATTATGTTAGTGGCAATTTGGTGGCTAAATAATAAAAAATAACTTTTGCCAAATTTTAGTGTAAAATAATCATCAATATTATCCTGCATAAAATACAAGAAAGTTTAGAATCTCTTCCAATCAAACACAATTTAAAATTCAACATAAAATTGCCCCAAATTTACCTCTGATAGACTGAAAATAAAACATAATTTAAAAGCAATACTTTACATATGAAACTTTACATTAAATATTCATGAGAATTCTTAATTTAAAATAGTTTTTAACTTGAAATATGTGTCTCGCCTTTTTTGCCTTTCATTTTATTCTCTTGGGCTCTTACTTTGATACACATATTCACTTGTGTACCCAAATTATTTCCTCAGTTTACTCCGACCTCATAATATATTGCTGAAATTTCATTTCTTCTGGACCCTTTTGACTTCTTCTTTTTACAGTAGAGTTTTCTTCTTCTTAAAAAGTGTTAAAAATGCTAGAATTTACTCTGCTTCTCCTCACTGATTTCTCTTCTGGCTAACTCTATATCAATAACATTTCAGATATACCATTTTCAGATGATTGCTGCATTTAATCCATCATACATGCTCCTCTAGTGCTGAGATTTTTATCAAAACACTCCCTCTGTAACATTTTCATAATATCTGAAGATCATTCATATGTTCCCCCAAGATTTATGGCCACAACAATCATACTTTTTCTTGCCTTCTGTTCTCAAGACCATTAGGGAACATCACTAGAATTTGCTTTATTTATTTATTTTTTGAATTTCAATTGGTTTTTATTATCTCACTATTATTGATCATCATAGTCTTTTTCTAGTTCTTAATATTTTTGACTATTCACAAAAATAAAATATTTTTGCCTATTTAAAACCTAGGCTCCTCTCTGCTATATTTTGAATGGTATTCTTAACAATCCCACAGACATTTTATTTGGCCTATATATTTTTCTGCTTTTATTATTAGCTGCCTATTTTTTTCTCTTCTCTTTGGTTCCCCGATCTGTAACTTTCGCTTCTTCTCCATTTCCAAATATATCCACACTCTGTGTAATTTTTTTCCTGAATCTTTAGCTCATTTGGAACTGTCCTGTCACATGTTAAAGAGTGAACAGAAGATAAATTCTCTATCCCGTCAAGGAATGTAAAAAATAGCAGATTGTTCTTGTGTGACACTGGTGTTCACAACATTCACAACAATTGCTTAAGCTGCAGTCTTTACAAGGCTAAGGTGAACATAAATCAACAGTGGTTGAAGTTGATCAGAAATGATGTCTGAATCTATTCTTTGGTTGGTAGGGGTATCTTTCTTTCCGTGTGTGTGTGTGTGTGTGTGTGTGTGTGTGTGTGTGTAGGAGGTAAACCTCATTTAAGATTTTTAGAAAATCAGAAGTATAACTATGGAGAAAACTTAAAATTTGGCTTTTGTGAGGATAAACACAATTAACTAATAAATATTTTTGGCTCCCAATCTTGTTATTTGTGATGTTGACTTCTTTAATTACAATGCATATTCCTTCATCAAGGACATAGTTCATCTTAATTCCACAAGGTATTTTATTCATTTTTAGTACAAGTAAAAAGATCAGCAATGACATAGATATTTAAACATGACAGAATTCTCATTCATTCTCTGAAGTGAATTTTGACAATGTTTTGGTGTATTTTCATTATTTAAGATAGAAACAGGTAGAAGTTTTAAGTACCATGAAAGACCTACCAGACTTGTGTTTTTGAAGATACGGTTTTGGAAATTGAAATGTTCATGTCTTGACTATCTTGAATCAGTCCCCTGATTAATTTTCATACCACTGTCTGTTAAATTATATTTTTAAAAATTACAAATACCTTTATGAATTTAGATTATATAATTTCAACAACATTTTGACCCACTAACTGTATTCTTGATTTAATTCTAAGTTTTAAATGCTATTATAAAATCATTTATGACATTTGGAGACTACGATAGCTTTCTGTGTTGCTTCTGCTTAGAATTTGAAGAGAAAATTTGGTTATTGTTATTTCTTCATTATTTCTCATATTTATGAAATAAGGGTATCAGAAGGAAAATTAAAAACTGTAAATGTTGAACTATAACTTGTGTAAGCACTCCAGTTAAATGTTAATTGTTATTTGATAGATTAAATTGCAATTTATTATACACAATAGTACATATGCATGTGAACCAATACATGAATAGGTGACTATTTGTTTTCAGATACTGAATGATATATTTATATATAGTCCTATATTTGCATACAGTAAGTTTCACTGTTTTAGAATAAATATATAAAATGTAATAGAATATGGTCTAGAGTTGAATTTTGTTGTCCTGACATAGGTTGCTTTTAATGTTATAATTACTTAAGAAGTTGTAATTATCATGAACATGTTGATGTAACTTTACGTGTAACCTGTGTATAACATACTAATACAATTCAGCTATCAGCAATGTCACATGTGTTCAACAGTCTGCGTCTGTGGTAACCTGGCAACCACCTCTAAGACATGTAACTAACCTTGGCACTGGGGAAACTTTAGCTCACAAAGGCAAGATGCTGCCTATATACATTAGGGCACTATTTTGTTTCCATAGCAACAAATCAATGCAGAAACAGTTTTGGAGTGGTCACTAGTGCCATTCAGGAGAGATCACAAATAATTTTTCTTGTCCTCGCAGTATTATGGTCACCTCGATAATTTGAGAACTTCATAATACTCATTTAAAAGTTCAAATTAAGACTATCCCTGAGGACACACAGACATAATGTGTATTTCGAGAACACAAGTCATTTTGCTGCTGTTGCTGAGGAAACGCAATCCTGCTTGAATTGACTCTACTACTAATAATTAACCCTATGGCTTAGCTTTTCTCTGATTTCTACAGAGTTGAGCTTATAACAAATTTTATTCCAAATTTATTTCATCAGAGTCATTGCCTTAGCATATTCCTCAACATTGAGATACATTGTTTCCATTTTTAAGTAATACGATAAACAAACAAGCAAACCAAAATACCGAACTTTTAACAATCTATCGAGATATATTCTAGTGTTTGGTTTCTCATAATTCCAATTATTACATGACTCTTTCGGAGTTGCTTTAATTCATTCTGTAGTAGTCTGTCATCGCCAGCCATCACTAACCTTCCATACCTTAGGTTGGTAGCTTTTTATTTGAACATACCATTGTTTTTCAATTATAACCATCAACTGCATTATGTTCACCCGATACCAGTGTAGATCTTTCCACATAAAGTTCTGTCTATTAAAATAGTAAATTTGCTGTCACGCTTTTCTTTTAAGCATTCTGTGCTGTGTTCTGTTCGGTGTCAGTGTCTTTAGTTCTGATTTTTCTATTTTGTCCCTCTCCTTTTCCTTGACTTGTTAGTCTGATCCAACCTCTTCTACCTCATCTGATGATTATCAATATGTTATGGAAGCTAAACTACAAGAAATGATCTCCATACGTAGGAAGGTAGTCCTACTGGACTTTACTTTCTATTGCTAAATAGAATCCATCTAAGTTTTTCTTTTCATTTATTAAAATTATGTTACTTTTATTTATTGATAATCGACCATCTGTGCAGTTCAGTGCTTCAGGAGCTTAAGATTGGACAATGGCAGGTTTGTGTTCAAACCATGCACAGTCTGCATGTTACATTTGGCTGATTTCATTGCTCATAAATAACTCCAATGTTTTGCTGATGCTTGGATGTAACAGGCCTTTGTAGCTGACACATTTCAAGCAATGCTGTTCAGCTGCCTGTTTAACGAAAGTTTATTTTTGAAAACTACATTTGCGGTTGGTAGTAGCTTGCTTTACATTTTATTTCAGTTTATTTAGAGGAAATGTGTTCATCAAGTCTTACATGTCAGGTGCATTCTTCATATTTCTTAACAGGCTGAAGAGAGACATGGAAATATTGAAGAACGTATGAGACATCTGGAAGGTCAACTTGAAGAGAAAAATCAAGAACTTCAAAGAGTATGTCTATTAAGCACCTCTACCTCAATGATCAGTTTATGGATTTATATTCTACATACAAAAAAATGAACGTTTTTCATGATCACGGGTTGTATTTAAAAAGTTATGGATATGCCGTGTGCACTTTAAAGAAATTAAGTTTCTAACGATTTGATCAAAATCAATATAAAATTAAATCCATTTTTAAAACTACAGAAAATGTAAAAATAAACCCAGAGACTTATTTAATGATTTTATGTCAAATTTATTTATTTTTTCTTGCATGTAAGGCTAGGCAAAGAGAGAAAATGAATGAGGAGCACAACAAAAGGTTATCCGACACTGTGGACAGACTTCTGACTGAGTCCAATGAACGCTTACAGCTACACTTAAAGGAGAGAATGGCTGCTCTAGAGGAGAAGGTAACATGGCAGTAGAGCAGAACCACGTGAATATTTCACAGAGTTCTTGTGCTCACGTTTGTTTTATACCAGCTGGTCATTACATTGATCAGATGATTCACTGACTTTCCTTAATTAAAAAAAAAGAATGTTCTTAGAAGAGAATGAACAGTTTCTGTAAAAATGTATAAAATCAATTTTTATTTATTTTAATTTTTTATTTCTTTTTTATAAGATCGATTTTTAAATGAATAAAAATTATTTATAGTATATAAATTTTGCATATTAATATGATCATCTGAGACAATTGTGTTAAATGTGCTGCACTTTTGTGTTAAAAATTTTTCATTTGTCCTTTGGTATGCAAGGAAGAAGAGTGATAAGACAAAAATATATATGTTGGGGGTGTGCAAGGAAGCTTGTTTTGAATTATTCAAATGTTTTAAGTAACTGAATCTATCACTGGTCTAAAAGCCAGACTGTGGGTGAGCTTAATGTCAATCTCAGTACAGAATTGAGGCATGCAATATATCTAGCTACATTGTTTTTTTAAAAGTGCTTCTGTACAGTCTGCAATTTCATTCACATTTACATATGTCTCATTGACAGCAAGCAGCTTCCAAACCAGCAAGATTTATATGAGCTGGTTTCCAATTCCAAGGCATAAACAAAAGTAGAGGATAAAACCTAGGAGCACAAATCATTTTGGAAATTTAGATTGAATGCCAGCACTACTTAAGCTAGACATTTTCCCCTGCATCATCCAATAAACCAAAATAGAAAAAATAGGTTTCGATAAAATGTTAAAGTATTTTGATTAATTTACCCATTAGGGAGTCATAAGGCATGACTTCTTCCCATTCAACTCCAAATGCATGGACTATGCCAATTACTACACTCTTGGTTTAATTTAACTCTGTAAACTTGAAAACCATGCATGGTTTTAAATCACGCTTTGTAGTACTATAAGAACATTATAAAGCTTATAACAGTAATACTTGTATGGCAAGGCTTTTTAAAAAAATATCTATATGCAACTTATGTTCACATGTTATGATGTGTAACATCAGTTTTTTAAATCACTAAAATTTTGCTTTATTTCTCTAAAAAATTAACTATCACAGAAATTGATAATTCTGCATTTGAAATAGAATTCCAAAAATTGAACATTTAAAAAATGGACTGGGAGGAGTGGGGGAAAGGTGGGAAAATGGGAGATATCTGTAATACTATCAATAATAAAAATATATTAAAATAAATAAATAAAAAATATGATCTTATCTTTGCTTGTTTTTTCAGATAATAAAAATAATCTGAATTCTTTATCAACAATACCTCTGGACAATATTGACCTTTTTCTTATTTGAAGAGTAACCTAATTATTTCAAATTTTACAGTGACTGAGAGGATGCACACAGAAATATAAAGATAATATTCAGTCCATTTGTCAATTCAAATGTTACAAACAAAGTATCCCATTTAAAGTTGTATTTCTCAAAATGTTAAGGTGGAATGTTTAAAGGTTCCATTGAAACTTGGTTTTCAAGGAAATCAATAAATAAATGCAGAAAAAATTGATGAAGGTTCTTGAGTGATAAAAATAGTTTATATATTTAATTATTTTCTGTTTAGTTTGTTAATTATTTCTGTTTTTCTTTCCTCTTCTGTAGAATGTTTTAATTCAAGAATCAGAAACTTTCAGAAAGAATCTAGAAGAATCTCTACATGATAAGGTATTACGGAAACTTACATTTTGCCTATTTTTCTATTTTATATTGCTGAATGTTTTATAAAATAAATTTCAACAGAAATAATTTTAAGATGCCTTCTTTTAAAAACAATTTTAAATTTTATATTATACATACAAAGAGATTAGATATATTGGGAGAGCTTGATGAATTTTTACAAACTAAACACACTAAAAATCATCATTCTGGAAGCCCCCCTCTCATTAACATATAATCACTACTCAAATACTAAAGGGTAATCACTATCATGACTTCTTAAAGAAAAAAATTAATTTTTGACTTATTTGTGCTTTATATAAATGGAGTAAAAATGTATATATTTTGATTTCTTAAATAATAATAAGCATATGGTTCAGCTGGAATCATTACTCCAGTTGTAAGATATGTGGCAGAAGAAGAAGGTCAGAGCCACATTATGAAATGTTTAAAAAATTGTGATTGCTAATATATCTTTGGTGTCCTTGATTAGCCTGTAAAATTCTTGTTAGCAATTCTGTCCTAATTTTATTTTATTATTTGTCAGAAGGAAATGAATAGTATAAAATGACTAACTTTTGAAATGATCTATACATGTGTATTGAACAAAAGATGGAAGGATAGAAAGAGAGAAGGGAGAGAGAGAGAGGGAAAGAGGAAGTGAAGGAAATGAGAAGGAAGGATGGACAAAAGTATGGCATAAGAAAGGTATTTGAAAACTTAAAAGAATAAAGATAATAGTGAACAAGGAGATTAACCTGTGAATTTATGTACATACTAGAGGCCCAGTGCATGACATTCGTGCACTGGGCAGGGGTGGAGGGGCGTTCCTCAGCCTGGCCTGTGCCCTTTCACATTCCAGGAGGAGAGGGTGGACGGGGGGAAGTCAATGGGGGAAAAAGGAGACCTATGTAATACTATATGTAATACTTAAAAAAAACTTTTCGGTCTCACAGTCAGTGTGTACACAATCTCCGAAAAAATAGATCTACTAGAGCAGTATAATATGATGCTTAGAATATAACATCAGATTCTCTTTGAAGTAGTCGAGAATGTCTACATGGGGAGAGATGACATTTCTTCAGGCTCTAGAGGGCAGATATATCCTTATATAGAGAAGGGTAGGACAGAGAAGAGAGCCTCTGTAATAGCATAGAGAAAACAAAGATGGTTGATTTGCTGTATCATCAGAAGTTTGCTGAGACTGGTATGTGTGTAAAAATAACTAGATTTTGACCAGATTGTAAATTTTGGACTTGATCCTGTTATGCAGTATTATGTTATTCAAAACTCTGTGTGTTCCTGGCAAGATATCCAGAACCTACTCCCTCACCACCACCCTACCCAAGCCTTGTAGCATCAGCAATCTGCCTAAGCAGCCAGCAGTACTAATCACTCCATACTTCCCATCCTTGTTCATGTCAATTGCCAGAAGAAGCAAATTCATGTCATACTTCATTTCTGAATATCATCTCAAACAGACAAGCATATTTCCTAATCTAACCATATTTCCTATAACTCCTGAAATTTCTACTCAATTCTCTATAATGCATTATCAGCAAAATCCCCTGTGTACACAGCCTCTTCTCTCCATGTTTCTCTTCATCATTCTGATCTCTTAAATTTGAAGTTCATAGGCCTGTCCTTGGATTTCTTCTCTATGTTTAGTCCCTGGTGAACTCATATGATTTCATGGGTTTAAATACTACCTATAAATTGAGTACTTCAAAATTTAGATCTCCTACTGGGTTCCCTACCCCAAGGGAGTTCATATATGCAATAATCTACTTTTTTTAAAAAGAGTCTACTTAATATCTTTATTTAGACACATAAACAACTTAAACTTAACAGGTCAATCCCTTACATCACCACTTAATCTCACCATCACTGTCAGCAATCTTCTCAGTAAATCTTTCTCTTAGTTACTCAGGTTAAAAGCCTTGGAGTATTCTTCACCACATTCAGTCTAATAGCGAATTCTGTTCTATTTTCAAAATATGACCAAATTCCAGCCATACTCTCCATAACGCTATTGTTGTCCAAGCCATAATTCCCCTGCCTGTTTTTGGAAGAACACTAATAATTGCATTTCTTCCTTTCCTCCCAATCAATTCAAGTTCATGTTACAGCCATCAGAATGGTCATGCCACTTCTCTACTCAAAAATCCTCTAGTAATTTCCTGTCTCACTCAGAGTAAAGCCGAAGGCTCTAATGGTTTACAAGGCCATTCAGGACTACTCTTCTCAAACCTTGTAATCCTACTTTCTAAATTTATCGCATGTCTGCCTTTGTTGTTAACCTCCCCAATCCAGCCCCACTGGCCTCTTTGCTCACTACATATACTCCCACCAAGGGGCATTTGTACTTGCCGTTCCTTTTCTCTGCCATATCTTTTCATATAAGATATTCCAGTTTTTATAACTGCCTCCCTTTCTTCAGTTCTTTACTCAAATATCACTTTATTAAAGAGCCCTTCCATGTTTCTCCTGTTTTCTCCTTCCTACCAACATCCTTAAGACCATATTTGTTTATTGTGTTTTCTGCCAAATTATAAATTACATGAGAGCAGGAAATTTGTTAGTTTATTACTGTATCTTAGGTGCCTAGACACAAGAGGTTCTTAATGCATAATAGGGGAAATAACAAACAAATTAATTAATAAATATAAAAAGCAAAGGTTTAATTTTTTAAAGTATTGATCTAATCATACATCATTTTTTTAAATGATACATCCAACAGAAGAATATGTGGGGAAAAGATTGAAGGGAGCATCACCTCTGTGGAAGCTGGTAAAATATTCATAAAAGAGATAAAAAAGATGTAGGGTAGAACAGTGGTAGTAAGAATGAAAATAATAGATATGAGAAACTTTACAAAGTTCACATTGACAAAAAAATAGTGAAATGAGAAAAGAAGTATGAGTCAAGTAAAATGGCAAACACAGGACACCTAGAGAGGGAAAAAATAGCAATAGAAAACCCAGAAGGACACATTTAAACATCTATATAATAAAAGCCTAAGCGACCTTTATGGTGGAACAACCAGAACGACTGGTTGCTATGATCGCACTGGCCACCAGGGGACAGAAGCTGAATGCAGGAGCTGCCCCCTGATGGTCAGTGTGCTCCCACAGAGGGAGCACTGCTCAGCCAGAAGCCAGGCTCAGGGCTGGCGAGTGCAGCGGCAGTGGTGGGAGCCTCTCCCGCCTCCATGGCAGCACTAAGGAGCAGCAAGCTGAACGTTAAGGAGCAGTGAACAGACAGGCAGTAAGGAGCAAGAGGTCCTGGACTGCAAGTGGGCGCAGGCCAAGCTGAGGGACTCCCCCCCCTGCCCCCGCTCCAGTGCACGAATTCCATGCATAAGGCGTCTAGTTTATATTATAAAAATTATAATAATGAAAACAAAATTAAGTGCTTACATGAGCACTTAAATGCTATAAGACAACTCTTGATAAATTTTTAGTCTAAAATTGATAATGCCAATCTGAGAAAATTATCAGTTGCACAAATAATTGTACTATTATCAAACTGATAATTTAACTCATATTAAATGATTAATTTTTTCCTCATTCTTTTATTTCAACCTTCTTTCTCCTTCACCTATATATCTTTCTACCCTTATAGAATAATAGAAATCCTTCGCTGACTGCATAAATAGGACCTTTTCTTATTTTTTAAACCAGCTATGGTTTCAACTCTGTATTTTTAAGTGATGTAAACATAGCTGTCACAACCTTAGTATTCCTGGGGTTTTTTTAATTAAAAATTAATGAATTCCAGTAACTATAGATAATGTTTTGTTGATTTCTGCCGTTCACATTTTCATTACAAGGGGAAAAATCAGGCATGCTTTACTTTCATGATGAATAATTTTTAATAAAATTATATCCACCAGTTTTTTCATTTTTAAAAACCCACTAAACTTGGTGGCTAGCTTGGTTTATCATAATTGAGTCTTGGTATTATTGGTATTTGTATATCATTTAAGTAACACTTCTTTGATTTTTAGGAAAGATTAGCAGAAGAAATTGAAAAGCTGAGATCTGAACTTGACCAATTGAAAATGAGAACTGGCTCTTTAATTGAACCCACAATATCAAGGTAACATTAAATTAAAAGCTTATCTGCAGTTGACTAAAAACCAATATGAATCTCCTTATGGTTAATATCTCCTCAAATAAAATAGACAAATACATGTATCTCCTATTGCCTAGCCATTGCCTTATTTTGCCTCCTCACCAATTTAGTTTCTACATTCCAAAATAATTGTATAATTTATAAATCCTTTCTGCAGATATGCAATAAATTTGAATTCACTACCTTTCATATTCTGCATTTATTATATAGATATAAGATGTAAAAGGAATATTAAATGAAGAAATGAACTGTATGGTAGATTACATCTCATTCCAGGAAGAAGTATCAGCTCTTTTCTCTACATGCAGAAATATTTTCAATGCTTAATGTTATTGAAGAAATATCATTGATTATGGTCATTCATATTCAAAGAGCATATAACTATTTTGGTAAAGTAATTGCAAATAAAGAGGAAAAGCAAAATTATATTTGCTAAAGAATTCAAGTTAATTTAGCTTTACTTATCTAAAGCTAAGCTTGACTCAATACCTAATCTTTAAAAAAGAAGCAATGAGACAATTGTTTCTCTCTAGATAGACTTCAATAATTCATGGATAAGTTTCTTTTTTGCTTAGAGACTTTTATTCAAATTCTATAAGAAACCCTAGAAGGGCTCACTCATTTAATCATTTATTTATTAAGCAATACAATGACATCAGCTATTTGAAACTTTTGACACCACAGATTTCTAGATGTTCATGTTTCATGGTCATACGTTTATATTAAGAATATTAGTTTCATGAGGGCTGAAGCTAATATTCTTAATATTTTCTCTCTAATTACTACAATTTCAGCACCTTAAAAAAACTGCCATATAATGTGCTTTCAATTGATATTGTTGAATGAATGAATATCTGGTAAAGGATTTTTCAGATGTTCAGATGACAAATCCAAATTTAAAAAAAAAATTCTAAAGGAGATTATATTTGTCAGTATAGGTACCAATGAAACATTCAGTATTTTGAGTATTTCTCAAACACATTTCTGTAGACATAAATACATCTAAATACATCCAATTTTTTTAAATGGGTAGGTCTTTAATTTAGAAAATCATGCTTATTTTAAAGAAAGTATTCTGACTCTGAATCAAAATTAATTCAGTTCCATGTGTTCATATGGCAATGATGATTATGATGATGGAGAAGGAAAAAAAGAGCTGATAAATAGCAAAGGTGTAAATACAGAGAATGAACATTATTAAATTAACAAATTAAATGTATTTTAATAGTATCCTATGGGCATTTCATTGTCTTTTTTACTTTCAATCTTAGGAATGCAGAGTTCTAGCGTTGTTGTCTAAAAGTTCACTGCCGCAGTGAATCATCATGGGCCACCTAACAATGTGACATTTATTCACAACTACAGAACAACACAGTACAACTTTCCTCTATGCTGCAGACTGTAGTAGAAATAACACTACAGCAAGCATTCTTAGTTTCAGATATACAATTACTAGCTCTTTGATTTTGAAAAACCCATTTCCTTACAAAGGTTCTAATTTTGTATATATTTTGCATGAGTTATATATAAAATACTGTTTTTCTGACAATCTCACAAGCTTACATTGCAGGTAAAATGAAAAGTAATCAAAGGGGTTTTGTGAACAGTAAATCACACCAAAATTTTAAAGTATTATAAGAATTATTAAGCTAAGCTGATGGAATTTATAGTAAGTTACAGTATAATCAAATATTTATTAAATAGCAATTATTTGTTGGACAGCCATGCTTTTGAGTGCACGTAATTAAGAAAGAAACAATGAAGAAAACAGATGGTGCATGATAACTTCATCAACTTGTGTTTGACCTTCCAGTTGAGGAGGTAGGAAGAGATGAGCTAAAGTTAGTGATTATCTATCTACACTAATAAAAGACAAACATGCAAATTGACCATACCTTCGCTACACCTTAAGCCATGCCCACCAGCCAATCAGAGCGACTATATGCAAATTAACTCAACCAGATTGCTGTTGGCAGCCACGGAGCTGGAGCAAGCAGGAGGCTTGGTTGCTCCAGTGATGGAGGAAGCCAAACTTCCCACCTGCCATGGCCGGCTCTGAGCTCTACTCAAGGCAACAAAGTTTCCATTATAGAAGATAAATAAACCCCAGATACCTGCTTTCAGCCTGCCGTGGCCACGGAGCTGGAGTGAGCAGGAGGCTTGGGTTGCCCCTGATGATGGAGGAAGCCAAGCTTTCCGACTGCCCTGGCAGGCTCTGAGCTCCACTCAAGGCTACAAAGTTTCCATTATAGAAGGTAAATAAATCCCAGAATAAAAAAAAAAAAGGAGAGGCTGGAAGCTTACGTCACTGGGGGGCTTGGCCAGCCTGAAAACGGCCCTCATCCCCTCACTCAGACTGGCCAGGCACCCCAGTGGGGACCCCCACCCTAAAGAAGGTGTGGCCATCTTGAATACAGCCATCAGCCCCTCACCCAGGCTGACCAAACCTCCATCTTGTGAAGGTCCCCACTGAGGAGGGCTTGACCAGCCTTCAAACAGCCATAAGCCCTCACCCTCGCTAGCCAGGCACCCCACTGGGGACCTCCACCCTGAAGGGGGTGTGACCAGCTTGCAAACAGCCATCAGCCCCTCACCCAGGCTGGCCAGGCACCCGAGTGGGGATCCCCACCCTGAAGGGGACTTGGGCAGCCTGAAAACAGCCCTCAGCCCCTCACCCAGGCTGGCCAGGAACCCCAGAGGGACCCGCACCCTGATCCAGGACACCCTTCAGGGCAAACCAGCCGGCCCCCACCCATGCACCAGGCTTCTATCCTATATAATAAAAGGGTTATATGCAAATTGACCCTAACAACAGAACGACTTGTAATGACTGGTCACTATGACACACACTGACCACCAGGGGGCAGATGCTCAATGCAGGAGCTGTCCCCTGGTGGTCAGTGCGATCCCACAGGGGGAGCTCTGCTCAGCCACAAGCCAGGCTGATGGCTGCCAGCACAGCAGTGGTGGTGGGAGCCTCTCCCGCCTCCTCAGCAGTGCTAAGGATGTCCGACTGCAGCTTAGGTCTGCTCCCTGCTAGTAAGTGGACATCCCCCGAGGGCTGCCGGGCTGCCAGAGGGATGTCTGATTGCCAGCTTAGGCCCAGTCCCCCGGGGTGCAGGCCTAAGCCAGCAAGTGGACATCCTCCGAGGGGTCCCACACTGCAAGAGGGCATAGGCTGGGCTGAGGGACCCCCCCCCCCTGAGTGCACAAATTTTTGTGCACTGGGCCTCTAGTATATATATAAAAGCCTAAGCGACCTTTGCAACCAAAAGACCGGAATGACTGGAACCACTGGTCAAACAGTCGCTATGACACACACTAACCACCAGGAGATAGACACTCAATGCAGGGGCTGCCCCCTGGTGGTCAGTGTGCTCCCACAGCCAATCTCCTACAGCCGCCCCCCACCCCCCCACCCCTGGCTGGCCAGCCTCCTGAGGCCCCTCCCCCCTGCCTGGCCAGCCTCCCAATAGGTCTCAATTGCCGGCCAGGCCAAGTGACTCCACCTATACATGAATTCGTTAACCGGGCCTCTAGTCCGTAACTAATATCCTCTACTAGTATCTCATCTGAGAAGAAAGTAAAATAAGTAGCAGAGTGTCTGGAGACAACCTGATTTGGCTGAACTCTGAAGAAAGGGTAAGATGAGGATAATTAGGACAATAGAGGACACTCTAGGACAGAGGTGGGCAAACTTTTTGACTCGAGGGCCACAATGGGTTCTTAAACTGGACCGGAGGGCCGGAACAAAAGCATGGATGGAGTGTTTGTGTGAACTAATATAAATTCAAAGTAAACATCATTACATAAAAGGGTACGGTCTTTTTTTTTTAGTTTCAAACGGGCCGGATCCGGCCCGCGGGCCGTAGTTTGCCCACGGCTGCTCTAGAAGCAGATGGATGGATTACTGGTTTACTCTAAGAAAATTCATATTTGATTTATATATGGACATTTTTTTGTGAGATAATGTGCAAGAGTTACAGGAAATTCCGGAGTGAAAAAAACACAAGGGTTCCTTGTCTACATGAATTGGTGACTGTAGATGCACTTTTAACTTAAACCTCCTAGTATGTCTCAAAATAATGTACAGAACATGATTAAAATTTTAAATATATAGAAATATTACCTTTGTTAGAGAACTAGCTCACAGAATGAATAAAAGGAAAGAGGTGAGCAGTAACCTTCTTAGATCAAGTGTAAGCAATGGGCTCTTCTATGATTGCTCTTGTCTCAGGCCTCAGGTTATTTCAAGGTCAATTAAACATTTTTTTACTTACCAGACACTGTGGTATTACAGACAGAGTGATGATGGTGGTGAAGAGGACACATTCCAGATGGGAAATAGAGGAATAATGGTTTGAGGACCATTTTAATGGAAGGAATATGAGGAGTTAAAATAGCATATGACAATGGGACTTTTAAACTGAGACTTTAAGAATGCTAACCATGTAAATGTGTGACGAGACTGTTTTCAAAGGCTCAGAAACAAAAGAAAGTGTGAGTTGTTGAGGGAATTGAAAGTCAGTACAGCTAGATGGAGAAATACAGACAGTAGTTAGAAGTGAAGCTGTAAATTCATTGTAGAGGGCCTTTTAAGGACACTGAAGATCTTTAAGCTGGTTGTCAGTGGGACCAGGTCTGTATTTTGTTTCATGTTTTTATAAATGACTTAGAGTTGAGAGATAAAACAACAAAAAATACTCCTAGGATGATATCATAATTTTAGAAAATCCACTCTAATGCCCAAAGAGGCATTATCCTAAGTACCACAGGCAAAAGGCACATAGAATGTTCTGAGCTGGTTTGGAATGTATTATAATCAATTTCATTCATTATCTTACCAGACATTTATTAGGTATTTAATTAATCCTTGAGCATATAATGGTGATGAAAATATATTTGTCTGTCAAATAGATAAATACTAAGATTTTTACCATTTACAACCATGGCCTTCTTGGTTAGTTTTTATATATGATTAATCCACAATAAAAATATAATTTGCTTAAGTCTCACATTCACAGCTGTAAAAAACAATCTCTGTCCTCTATTTTGGGGATGATTCCTTAATTCATTTGCTTTAACGTCCTATTTGGCAAAACAAGGGCTTGCATCAGCCTGGTCAGTATCTTCTAATGTTATAAACACTCAGACTTCACCTAACCTCTTTTATCTAATCTGGCCTAATATTTGGCAATGCTCCATTCACAAAGAGACCTAGGGGCAAAAACATAGATCAGCAAGAGTCCCAAGTTCCAGAGTAAACAGAACTTTAAGTATATTTGCTACTGATAATAAATCATTTTGTAGGACAGCATGTTGCCACTGTTATCATTATTATTATAGTAATAAACTGAATTTGCTGCAAATCTCCATATAAATAATGTTCATGGAGAAACTTTTACTGCACTTTAATTAGAATGTACTTTATTATCATGCTTATTGAAGAACAGTGTGCCAATATTTTCCAATTGGAATGTTCCAACTGTTTCATCCGTAAGTAGATTTCAAAATCAGATGTGATCATCAAAATATTTTTCTTTATTTTTAATGAATGTCTTATTAAAAGCTAAAAAAATTATTTGGGTGATATATCCTACTTTATTACAAAATAACTTTAACCTTGGGTCAATCTGATTTTACGCATTTTTTGTTGATTTTCTAAGTTGAAAAATAGAATGTTAAAAAAAAAAGAGAATTCTGGGACCCCAAAAGTTTACTTTTTTTCTGTTATATTAATGAGAAATGCTTAAAACAAATACAGTAACAAATAGCATATATTGGGATATCCACTAAACAGCTCAAACTAAATATAGAATTGCCAGAATTTAAGCCTCAGGATCTTGGCTGGCGATCTTAACATGTTTTGTTGTCCCACCACATTTGAAAATAATAATTAATGAACAGAAAGGCTTTTTATATTCTAAAAAGAGAAAATTCAGTCGACCTTCAGGAAGGAACCTGAGGCCAGAATTTCTGACATAAGCCTCTGGAGCAGAGGTCCTCAAACTTTTTAAACAGGGGGCCAGTTCACTGTCCCTCAGACATTCCACACATTCGCACTGTGGGCCCGGGACGAGTTGGCTGCTAAGCAGGACAGGCAGCAGCGGCAAAAACACCCGGCGGGCCGGATAAATGTTTTCGGCGGGCCGCATGTGGCCCACGGGCCGTAGTTTGAGGACCCCTGCATCTGGAGTGACCTCAGAGGGTCAGGACAATTCATCAGTTTTCTTTCTTGAAGTTTATTTATTTCCTTGAGGCTTTATTGCCAATTAAGAAGTGGATAGTGATTTGCTGATAAGTTTAACTTTGGCGATTGACTATATTTCATATTTTTCATTTCTTCCAGGACTCATCTGGACCCCTCTGCTGAGTTGCGCTATTCCGTTGGATCCCTCGTGGACAGCCAGTCTGACTACAGAACCACTAAAGTAATAAGAAGGCCACGGAGAGGCCGCATGGGCGTGAGAAGAGATGAGCCAAAGGTTAAACTTTTTATTTCAAGTCTCTGATGGTTTTAAGTAAATATGCTATTCCATTTTGGACAGAATTTTAATAAGGAGAAGATTTAAAATGCTAACATTTTTATTAGTGTGACATATGCCATGCTTTAAAAACAATAACAAACCTGAAACCCCTACTGTATGCCAGAAGTTCAACTAAGCATTTCCCATGCATTTATCCACATAATTTTATGAAGTGGGTACTATTTTTATGCTAACTTAAGATATAAAAATATTGAAGTTCAGAAATTTTTTGTTCAATTACACAGCCAGCAAAGTAATAGAATCAAAACATGAGCTTATGTTTGCATCGTTTTAAATTCCATGCTTCTATCCATTATGCTATTTTGCCAAACAAATGTATTTTTTGTTTGCTTGGGCCCCTAAGCAATGGCATTCATACTGTTGATTAAAATTAATTAAATATTTTAATTGTAATTACTACTTTAAAAACACTTTGAGGAAAATTAACACAGAGTATTGAAGGTGTTTGGGGAGAATTGTCCATGATCAACTGCAGTGCCAGCCTTGCATTCACTCAATAACTTCAACTTTGTAAGCTATGCGTGTTCAGTAAGTATGTAGTTCCATTTGGTAGAGAACATAATTCCTTTGTGCCCTAAGTATATTTGTTCTCCCCAACCACTTGTATGTGTCTAAAATACTACATAACCTACTTGTCTTTATTTGTACAAACCCTTTCTTTTCTTTTCTTTTTTAACACTTGGTTTTTTTAATTGGTACCTATGTGTCATGTACAAATTCATCCCTCATAAAAGGCAATCAGTATCTGTTGAATGGATAGATAAATAAACAAATGAAGAATAAAGTAAGTTCATCTTAGTTCATTTCTCATTTTAATGAAAAATAAATCAATACTACTCAGTGCCAAAACAATTTGTGAAATAAAAGCTAATTCAGGTTTTCAAATCTTAAATAAATGCTCAAGGCAATATCATTATATCATCACAAAGATTGAAAAAAAATTAAAACAGCAGAAAACTCTAGAACCTCAGTTTTACTCCCAAACCTCTCATACTTTGAGATTACAGCTTCGAAAACACTGGTCTCTTGGTTACTCAGGACTCTCATTCACATGAGATTGTATTATATCAGTTAAAACATTGGTATGCCTTGGGCTTAAAAGAAATCAATCAGGCATTTGAGTAGAGCAGAGCAGTGGAAATGAAATGAAATTACTTTGCAATATTTTTAATAGTATTTATTTCAATTTATGTAAATGATGTTGGGGAGAGAATTCATGTATAATTTTCTGTGTAATAATATTAGTATTCTGAGTCTGTAATACAAAAGTGTAGATAAGATGAATTAGTACAAGAAATGGGCATGCTTGAGTACAAGTCAGTAGAAAGGGTTAATTCGTAAAAAAGGAGAAATGTTACAAACACAAATGCTTTAAAGTAATTCTTACCTCAGTTTGGGGTTGAGCTAGATATCATGGGGAAGTTTAACATAAAATGCCAACGAGTTATTTTATTGAACCAATACATTGGAATGTTAATAATCAACTCAGCTTTTGCCAAGTAATATATAAAAGCATGTGTGCTTTTGTATTGTTTTTCAGAATATTGCTTTGAAAGTGAATAATGTTATCAATACTATAATTGTTCACCATTCAGGTGAAATCTCTTGGAGATCATGAGTGGAATAGAACTCAGCAAATCGGAGTGCTAAGCAGCCACCCTTTTGAAAGTGACACAGAAATATCTGATATTGATGATGATGACAGAGAAACAATTTTTAGCTCAATGGATCTTCTCTCTCCAAGTGGTCATTCTGATGCCCAGACTCTAGCTATGATGCTTCAGGAACAATTGGATGCTATCAACAAAGAAATCAGGTGAGTTCAGTTATTCTGGTGGTAATAACTAGAAGACCTGGACATTAAAAATATGATCATCATATCAAAAGCATTGGCATCAACTGGGAGGGTATTGAAACTGCAGAATGTCATACCTCACTCCACATCTACTGATTCAGAATGGCATTTTCACACCATCCCTTGGATGTCTGTATATATCCTATATAAAATTAGGGCAGCTTTTGTAAGGAACATACATGAAGCATACAGACATGATATGAGGGGGTTATGAAAGAATGAGGTAAAGATAAAATCTTCTCCAATGATTTCAAAGCACTTTTTAAATTTAAATTTACTATTTAAATGGTATTGGTGGTGATAAGATACGTTATCAAGGTACAGCTAACACTGCGGTAAAGCTACTAAATAGCGTGCAAATTCATGTGCAGCCAGCTCCTTAAAAGTATTTAGACATTGGTGTGAAATTAACCATGACTGAATTATTTCAAAATAGATATTTAAAAAGGTATCTAGGTAATGGATGATTTTAAAAGAGTAGAATAGAAATTGTACAACTTAACATTCAAATATTGAGAAATATCACTATGATCATTTAAATTTTAAGTTATGTATTTTCTTGAATTCCGATGATATCCATCGTCTGTTTCTATTATTCCTTTGATTAATCCCAGTGAAGAACCTTATTGTGTCAGGTGGATTTGTTTTCCTTCAAACTAGGAAACTATTCTTCATTTGTTTTTTTCAACGGATGAGCAATTTTTACTATTTTGAACAATGCCTTTCTTTGTTCTTTCTGACTCTAGCTTTAATCTGTTGACCTCCTACTTTGATTCAAATTTACCTCGTTCGCCACTATCATCACCATATTGTACATTATGGTAGTTTCTCATCTGGATGACAATAATAGTTTTACCTGGTTTCTTTGTAGTATTTGGATTTCCAAGCTAGTTCAAACTGACACTGCAGCCAGAGCAGACTTTTTAAAACCCAAATGTGCTTATGTACTTTCCTTGTTAATTAAGCCCTTCAGTTTCTCTTAAGATAAAGATGAGAATTATTTGATGGTCTGCAATGCCCCATCTACTTCAGCATTCTCTTGCCTTCACCTGTCCTAGTTCATGTTCCATTATACCAGTACATGACTTCCTGTTCATCTATTCCCTTTGTTGTGGCTGTTCTTTTCTTCTGGAATATTCTCCTCAATCCACACTGTTCTACCCTAACTCTTCACCCACTTTATACTACTCACCATGAACATCTCGCCATCAGTTCTGTCCTTCAGTTCACTTTTCGGTCCTTTAGGTTTTTTTTCCACTAGATCATACGTTATATAAGAGCTAGGAGGTATATCTGGTTTTGCTCCTGCTTTATTTCCAAAACTTAGCACTTTGCTTGATAAATAGAAAGTGCTTCATAAATATTTGTTTATTATAAATAGAAAAATATATAAAACATGAATTCCAAATAAATAACACTTCCTGATGCTGTGCAGCTAATGGTTGAATTCACTATTAAATAGATTAAAAATCAAGTATGCACCCTTGTGATATTTGTTTTCACACACACACACACACACAAAAACATACACATGCTCCCAATAACATGTTATGTCCCTCCAGGGACTCAGCTTTCTTGCATTAGGGTAGAAATTCCCAGTAACAATCGTGGCCTAGACTAATTAAGTTGATACCCAAATAGTAAATTCAAACTATTGTCTTTTAATATGTTCATCACTACCCCCCTTAATGTAGAGTAAAATAGTTGCTGACTGTAAGACATTAAGAAATACATAAAATTTGAGTACATAGCAACATTTAAAAGAAATAGGCACCTTAATATAAACTGTGGTATTATGCTAACAGTAATTGGAATTTATCTCTGGTTAGAATTTTTCTTCTTTCACAAATTAATTATCTCACAAAATATTTTTATTTTAAATCCTCTTCTCTGGCTTCTTACTGTTCACTGATTCTCTTTTTTATAATTTATTTTTTAAATATATATATTTTTATTGATTTCAGAGAGGAAGGGAGAAGAAGAGAGAGATAGAAACATCAATGATGAGAGAGAATCATTGATGGGCTGCCTCCTGCATGCCCCCTACTGGGGATCAAGCCTGCGAACTGGGCATGTGCCCTTACTAGAAATCAAACTCCTGGCTCATAGGTCAATGCTCAACCACGGAGGCTCATTCACTGGACTCACTGATTCTCTTAATGAGAGAGATCAAATTACTTTAAACTCATTTATCACTGGAATAGTCATTAATCTGTTCATCTATAGTTAGCTACTATTGGTCCAATTTACTTTTGTCATTTTATTTATTCATTCAGCTTGTCTATGATTCCTATGAGAATCCCTTCCCAACACACTAGGACATTTTAAAGGGAATCTATTTTGTTATTTCATTTGCTTTCCACGTTTACATCAAGATTAGAAAGATCAATGAATTGACATTTATTTTTTTCCAAATAAATTGAACAACAAGGCAACATTCGATTTTTGTTTGACTAAACTTTGATTTGCCTCTTATTCAACTTATTTCTCTAGGTTTGACTCTCCTTTACAATTAATAGGATACTAGAGTTAATAACAACAAGTTCTTTGTATAACAGAACCACATCACCAGATTTTTCTGAAGTCATTATGCACCAATCATTTTAAATGTACAAAAAAATTCATTTTTTAAGAGGGGTGAGTTTTTCCATTGTCTTGTGTTTAACGCATTAATGATGCTATACTCTGATACTTGATAAAGCCTTTATTTTAGATTCTGATCTTTGACTCAAGTTAAAGTGCACCCATGAAAATAAACTTCAAAGTAACAGAAGTTAATTCTTTATGTAAGTAAAAATTATAACTAAGATAAAATGTTCTTTTTAATATTTTTATTGACTGTATTTGTTTAGAGCAGTTTAGGATTCACAGCAAATTTAACTGAGGTGGAAGCACAGAGATTTTCCCATATTTCCTCTGACTCCATACATGCATATTCTTCCCCATAATCAATATCCTCCCTCACAGTAGTATGTTTATTACAACTAATGAACCTAAATTGATACATCATATTCACCAAAAGTCCATAGTTTATGTTATCATTTATTCTTGCTGTTGTGCATTCTATGTGTTTGGAAGAATGTAGAATGACATCTACCTATCAATATGGTATCAAAGACTATTTTCGCTGCCTTAAAATCTGCTGTGTTCTGCCTATTCATCCTTCTCCCCATCCCAAAACCTGGCAACCACTGCTCTTTTTACTGTCTCCATAGTTTTGCCTTTTCCAGAGTGCCATATAGTTGTAATCATATAATATGTAGCCTTTTCAGATTGGCTTCTTTCATTTAGTCATATGCATTTCATGTTCTCCTATGTCTTTTCATGCCTTGACAGCTCATTTCTTTTTAGTGCTAATATTCCAGTTTATTTATCCATTTACCTATTGAAGGACATCTTGGTTGCTTCAAAGTTTTGGCAACCCTGTATAATAAAGAGGTAACATGCAAATTAACCCTTGTGCCCTCACAAGATGGCTGCCTACAACCAGGCCAGCAGGGGGGTTAGTGAGGGACGACCAAATGACTGAACAGCAGGGGGCGATCAGGCCAGCAAGGGGGCCGTGAGGGCAACCAGGCTGGCAGGGAGGCCAGTTGGGGGCAACCAGGCTGGCGGGGGGGGGGGGCAGTAAGAGGCGTCCAGGCCAGCCGGGGGGGCGTTTAGGGGTTACCACGACAGGGGGGGGGGTGTGTGATTGGTTAAACCCAGCCGGGAAGGGGGGGGTTTTGGGCCAATTATCGCCAAGGGGTCATAGGGGCAATAAGGGCTGGTGAGGGGAGTTGGGGACCCATTCTGGATGGGGGTCATAAAATG